TGTTTTAAAAGCATCTGCTAGTACCTCTGATTTGAAACACTTCCTCCACAAGCCATTATACATTGAGCCCGTAATTTTAAAAATATTGTTACTTCAGAGGAAGGACGACAGCCTGTGGTTGCCCACGGGGCCAAGCCACCACAAAAACCTCAGCATAAAGTTTCTTCAAGAGAAACCAGTAAACCAGGCTGAGCTGGAATTGGAAATATGTCCGCAGCACCAGGGTGGGAAGACAACGCTGCCCAGATGCTGTCGAACAAACTCTCGGGAGACCTGCCCGAAGGAGAAGTCCGCAGTGTGCAAGTGATTTCACATGGAATGGAATCAAATTCCCCCAGCAGGTATCAACAGTGTCTTAGGGCCGGGGAATGTCAGTCTTCTCCACAGGGGGGAAATTCAGTTTCCTTGTACCCTTTCAATTTGCCTACCTTTGTTTTTTTATTGCTTCCTTATTGCCCCTTTTTATAAGTAAAACTTTTCTCTGGTAATGACTGCATCTTCCTAAAAGCTGCTTCTGAGCTCTTATTTTTGAAGAAGCTAGATCCATCTTAATATTTTCCTGCCATAATTGCCTAAGGCCAATTTCTTCTAAAGGAATTAAAAATGCAAATCTAATATTCTAATTGCATAATAGGATCATCTTGGCAGCTCAATCAATACTTGTTCCCACTGTCAATAATATGGCCGGGCCGCGTGGATGTCAGAGCGCACCAGTCTCACTTTATCACTGGCCCCGTGGCCCATCCACATCTATAAGATGTGACATTTTATTAGTGGCCTTCCGTCAATCAGCTCTAATTTGGGCATCACAGAGATGCATGTTGTCATCTTAACATCCGCATTGCCCGAGAGCCAGACAGCCCAGAGTTACCGTCTTCATCTTTCCAAGGACTAAGTTCAGGGGCAGAAAATGCCTGGATGACAACCACACATAGGATTTTTTTTTTCTGGCCATAATCCAATGGCATTAGAAGCAAAGAACCTACCACAGGTCACTCCAAAGACCCCAAACCTATCGATTCAGCTATGGATCATTGCAAACAGCACGGCCCTGGCAGTGAGGTCCAGCTTGGCTGTTCCCCAGGGGGTAGCCTTGAGCAAGTCACCTGGCCTCTAAGAACCTCAGTGTCGTCTTCTCTTAAAGAAGCATGTTAACTTAAGGTGAACTAACTAAAGCCCTCTCCAGTCTAAACTAATTTTATTTCTAGAAGAGTAAAGCTCATACTCTAAGTAGCAAGACTAAGGAGGATCAGTTGGACTGAGATAACAGACACTGCAGCTACTTCCGGGCAATTTGCCAATTACCAGTAGCAACATCATAATTAACACCTATCATGCAAATTCTACTTCCATTAAGAAATGTTCTTCTAAGAGATCTCCTTTAATCTTTAGACATTATCTCTGTAGCTGAATTTTTTTTCTAGTTTCAAATACTGTACAATTTGATCCAAAACTCCATCATTCAATTTATCTACCTAGGCCAGAAAAAAAGCATTTATATCAACACTCCTGTATGAATTATATCAACAATCCTAAGTTTCCTTAAATAAATACTAAGCAACTAGTGTGTAACAAAAGTTTAGGTACCTATTAAGTCAGACTTCAGGATAAGTTAATTGTGAATAGACTTTCAGGTCAAAAATGTTTAGATTCTTTGAAGAACACCTTTTTCAAATTATGACAGCATTCAGTAAAATTCAAAATGTAATTTATTTGTCCTTGTGTTCTGGGTGTATCTGTGGATATTTTACATGTAATCATAGTAAACTTTCTTATGTATATGGTTCCTTATCATTTATGCAATTAACAATTATCCATTCTCTGCTGGGCATTGTGTAAGGTGCTCTCATACATGTTTATTTGGTTCTCAAAGTGACCTCAGGGGTTAGATGATCCTGGCATTATTTTTCCCAGAGGAGGACGGGCTAGAGGACAGTAAGAGACATCCTCAGGAATTATCAGGAGATGCAGAGGTGACGACAGACTCAAGAATTATTGGAGAATACAAGAAGGAAAAGAAAGATTGCTGAAGAGTTGAGGCAGGCAAAGGTTCAGTTTTCAAAAGGGGTCGGGGAGGGCTTGGAAATAGGAAGGGAGAGAGGGGAGAGGAAGGAATATTCTATGAAATACAGACCAGTGGGCTTAATATTGATCCCTGGCAGAACATGAGAACTAATCATTACGGGTTGATCTGTGCGCTCAGGGATGGGAAAACGGACTGCCAAGAGGCTGCCTGCTCTTAGACAAGTCACCCAATCTAATCTTGTTTCCTCTCCTGATAGGGTTATTAGGCTGGTTGATCGGTGAATCTGGATTTCAGCAAGGCACTTGACAGAGTTGCTCAGGATATTCTTGTAGACAAGATGGAGAAATGGGGGTTAGGACTAGAGTACAGTTAAATGAATTTGTAACTGGTTGAACAAGAGTATCCGAAGTGTTGATTAATAGAGTGATGTCAGCCTGGAAGGGCGACTGCAGCCAAGTGCCCCTAGGCTCTGTTTTCAGCCCTGTTCTGCTCCGCAAGTTCCTGAGTGTCTTGAATAGTGTTGTAGGAGTCGTGCTTGTTAGACCATTGATTAACATAAATGTGGGAAGGACTGCAATACATTAGACAAAAGAATGAAGATCTAAAATGTTCTCATCCTGCTAGTCCAGTGGCCCCAAACCATCAAGAAATGTAGTTGGAATAGATGTAAATTTCCTTAATTTATTCCAAAACCAATAACACAGTAGAGGGTGTGAGAATCTTGGCAGTTTAAGGAGGGAAGATGTGGCCCCAAGCATGATTTGCTTGCATAATATGTTGTAGCCAATAACAAAACCTAAGGGGTTTTAGGCTGCATCAGTAGACACTCAGGGCACCTTTCAAATGTAGTTACCCTTGCAGCTGCATGGTGGGCTGGTAGAGACCCAGGTTCAGGTCAGGCACTGCACTTCAAGACAGATAAGAGACCATTCATAGGAGGGAAACAATACCAGTGAAAGACATGGCTACCCCACTAGGTGAGATGGGGTTGACGTAGTTGGTGATATTTACTCAAGGAGAGGCAAGAGGGTGATCTTCTAATGTGTGGAGAGCTGATTTAGGAAGAATGAGGAAATACAATCTCACTGCTCCTTGAAGACGGAGGAACTCACAGAAGCTCAGGGAGGTTTCAGAGCAACCTCAGCATGGGTGTCACCACATGAGGGAGGGACAGATGGCATGTTTTTAGACTGGGCTGCTGGACGACCTATTCCTTTCCCCAGGAGTAATTGCTCTGGGTGATTCTACAGGACAAGCTTTTTGATGTGTGTAAATGTGTTAACAAAAGGATTGCTGTAAATATAGCCTGCTGATTAAATCCAGCAATGAGCACGAGTCCGCTGGTATGCCAAGGTACAGAGAAGGTGTGATGGAAAAACAAAAACTACCAGCACACACTGCTTTTCCTGGAGGAGCTTAAAATCTGAAGACACAGAAGTAAGTGACAAAAGGCAAATGAAATTGATTTTAGAGGCAGGAAGAAAGAGTATCAGAATGAAGTGAGGGTAACATTTAACTTTAAATTGGGTTGGAGGCCAATCAAAAAAGGCTTCAGGGAACAGGGAACATTTGACTTCAGAGGATGTTGGAGCTCCCACCCAGTCCTCCAGGCAGCATAGCCATAGCCATAATGACTTTCTAAAGGTTCGCTGTCTTTCTCCACATTTAGCCTTTTGAAACTCCATCTTGTCTGTGCTGTCACTTTGACGTGATTTTGTTCTCTGTACACACCTAGCAACTAGGCAGTTTAGAACTCCCTGACTTGCCAACTTCCTTGTCACCCTCACTTTTATAAGGGACCCACCTCCAGCTCCTCTGTGCCCCAGCCCTGCCCACGTTCTCACCCGACAGTGCCCTGGGACAGGAGGGGCATTCCATGACTTCTGCCATATTCTGTGTTTACAAGCAAGTCAGGAGCCCCACCGACATTCAAGAGGAGGGGACTGCACTGGGTGGGTACATGAGGGCCACCTGAAGGTCCGTCTGCCACAGGTGCCCAACAAGGGTCAATTAGACAAGAGGAGCAAGGATGAGGGGGGACAGGACACAGGCACATATAGAGGACTTGTTCCCATCTGATCTCCTGGCCCCTGCCCTAATTTTCCTTTCTGCTCTTGCACAAATGGCTTGTTATCCTATGACTGTAACAAGGGCTCAGTGTAGGCAGCAGGTAGTCCTGTCTGAAGACTAGGTTAGTCAGTGGTAACTAAGAAGTCAGTCAGTATTTTCAGGTGTGGGGGACCCCCAGCACTGCAGACTAGGACAAGGCAGCGCTCAGCCAGCCGTCTTGCATTCTCCTCCTCGGCGCTGCAAGCCCTTGCACCCTTGAGGGCACTAATCCACCCAGCCATGGTGGTTGACCCTGCTGGGATTTACAGATCTCGCCCATCATACAGGCCCTCAGTCTGTGGTTAAGTAACACTATCCCTCAAGCCATGTGTTTACATATGGGAATTTCCAGACATTACCAGCTGCTTAGATGGAGCATCTCATTTCCAGTGGTTTAAACCCCAAGTTGCTCTCAGAGGTTGTTCCTGGAGCCTCTCCCTCTGCTTTCTCATAATGTAAGGTGTCACCTCCCCTGAGAACCAACCTCTTAAAAATTAATCACTATGATGTTTCATTCTACAATGAAGATCCTGTTCTACTTATTCCTCTTCTTAAAATCTGCCCCTGGAGATGTGTTTTGTTATTCTTTCCTTCTGTAAAGTGGTGTGAAAACTGCCTAGAAGATAATCACGCACCACTTCTAACCCAAGCCATTTCTACTATCCAGACACAGGACCCTTTTTGGTGATGTGGTGTTTCCGACAGCCCAAAGTCTGATGCTCTGGAACACTGACTAATGGTAAAAATGCTCTTCTCATGGGCTGCAAAACGGCCATGATCCTTCAGTCTTCCATAGATTTGTATCCTTGCAATGTGACTTTGTGACACTTTGCAGAGGGTATAAATGGCATCTACTTTTCCTTACCTTGAATCTGGGTTGTTGTAACTCATTTCAGGCAAAAGAGTGAAGTAGAAATGACAGTCTGCAACCTGGGGCACAGGCATCAGGAGGTTCTTGCATACTTCCACCTCTTGGAATCCTTCAAAAGCTGTGGATGAGAGACCAGGTGGAGCAGAGATTTGCCGTCCCATCTGATCCCATCCTAGATGAGCCAGGCCCAGCCAACTCAGCAGCTGACTGCAGGCACATGAATGAACCCAGCTGAGACAAGAAAAACGTCAGGTAAGTCCTGGCCAAACTGCCAACCCACACAGACACATAAACAAATGGCTATTGTTTTCATCTACTCTAGTCGGGGTTGTTTGTTATGCAGTAAAGCTAACTGATACAGGCTCCACAGTTTATCAGCATAAATGTCAGGGTTCCCAGTTTGGAAGAACCCACCACCTGGCTCATTCTCTAACACCCATCAGGCTGGTGGTGTCCCTATTCCTTCTTTCACTAGGCCTTTTGAAACCATACCCATGAGCCATCAGGACCTAACACTGTAACTGGATGGAAAAGACCTCGGGGGCATAGGTTGAGTTGCCATATGGTTTCCTTTCACAAAAGCCCTTGAAAAGCATATTTCTTTTATTTCATCCTTGGATGACTGCCTTCAGTCCTTTATTTCATAAGCTTCTATTCTCCCAAAGAGACATGACAGCATTGATTTCCACCTATGATGGCGGGTGAAATATTAAACCTTATTGATTTGAAATTCAGGATTAGTTGTAAGTTGGATACTTGGCATATTTCAAAGACGGGCAATTTTATTTTTTCTAGTTGAAGAGTAATTGCAGCTCCACAATATGATTCTTTTTTTTTTTTTAAGATATAGTACTTCAAATCAGCTTTCTCATTTTTGTCTCCTTCAGAATTGTTGAATGCATTATGTTGGCTGACGAATCAATTTATCCTTCCAAATGAAGCATTTGAATTTTTTACTAATAACTGTGGCAGTGAGAAAACACATGTTCTTTCCATTAACTATTCCTTGAATACTTCCATTATGAATCCTCTGGATCCCAGAACACCAACAGAAACCTCCTTGGTTGTAAGTAAAGGTGTCCTATTCTGAGTAAGAGTTAAGCAGGCTTTAAGAAACAGAGTTTATCATTAGTTTGATGTTTTACTGAGAGCATCTGACTGCCCAAGATTCTCATAAACTTAAAGCTCACTCCAGTATAGGCTGTTACTGAAGGTCTTTCTTCTATAATGCTCCCAGAAAATAGAGTGTCACATTGCTGAAATAAAGCCACTTAGGCTAACTCAAGTCTTGGGGATCTACAGTGTGCTAACACTGAAGCTCATCTGGAGATGCAAAGGTGAAGATACAGCGTGCAACTGAATACCAACGTCTCAACTCCTAATTCACAGCTGCATCACTCTTAAGCATCCAGAAGCAGGTACTCTCCAAAACACAAGTTACTAAACATTTTAAAGGAAATGTATAAACAAGCTAGACATCTTTCCTTAATAAGTACACCTTTATATAGTAGTTGTACTCACCACAGAAATGGCTGTGCTGGCGTGCTCCATACAGACAGCACAGACACAGAATCACCCCTCTCTCCCCATTGGCAGAAGCTGCTCAGAATCTCCCTTCCTAACCCTTCCTAGAGCTGCCCCCACCAGACCCTGTCCTTCACTTCTCATCTCTAACTAATGATCATCTGGGAGAGGCCCAGTGGCAAAGTCAGCGGTCCCAGTGCCTCCTGGAGGGGGTGAGGGGTGGGAAAGGAATGAGGGGCAAGCCTTGAGGGGGACCTCACCCCTGAGCCCCAGCGCATTCTGCCTTAGCCCCCCCCCCCCACACCCAGAAGGATACAGTTCCCCTTGTCCACACTAAGGAATGCCTGATGCTAACTCCTGAGACAAAATGTCCAGAGCATATGGAGTTGGGGAGCCGCTTTTGGAATGTAGAGAAGAGGTCTTAAATTCTCATTCCCAGCTTACTCTTTGATCCATTCTTCCCTCCTCAAGCACCACTCCCTGGGCTAGTCTGACATCTGTGAGGCACGGAGGTAGAGCAACAAGCCTGAGTTGCTGGTCTCATCCTGAAGGAAAAGCCCGTGACCCTGTCCCTTGCCCAACAGGTTTCCAGGTGAAAACGAGAAAGCAGGGAGCACAGTCCATCCCGGCTGTTTGTGTCTCCATGGACAGGAGTAAATAAATAAATGAAGCAAAACCTCTTGAGACTGTAACCTGTGTATTAAGGAACCTCAAGATGTGTTTTCTCAAACAAAATGGCTTGATGTCTTCTAACCATTGCTCCCACTTTGCTCTGTTGAGCTGCCAGTTTAACACCCCTCATCAGTATGTTGGGAAGATTCCATACCTTTCCAGTCACTTAAAATTTTTTAAATTTTTAGGCAATGAATGATGGTACATTCTAGAGCTTCCATCTCAATCTTGACCTAAATCCCATGTCCTCCTTTGCTCTATGCAGACTTGAGCTGGGACCCCGCACGCTGAAGGGTGGGGTGAGGTCTGCTTCTGCAGCACCCATTCCTATTCCTGGCTGAGCTCCCCACTTGATGGGTCAGGAAGGAGGCACCAAGGGGGACATGTGTCTCTTCATTTAAGTGGCCACTTCTGACGTCTTCTCTTGGGGTGGGGGGTTCTTGCAGTTCTACTGGCTGATGGGCTCATGATATCCTGAGGGGTGTGTCCAAACACTGGATCACTTACAGGCATATGTCTGAGCTCTTAGAGACTCTGATAACTCTGTCATCTCCCTTTTCTGTTCCCACCTACTGCATCATCTCCTGACATGGGTACCTGGCTCTGGCTTGACCTCCTTCACCCCTTCCCTATTCTCCCATGCCAGAGCAAATCCCATACCCTCACTGCTGGGTGTCCGTGCCTGAAGGACACCCTGCTTAGCTGGTACCAACAAGATGGCTCAAGCCCAGCTATCTTTCCGGGATGTTCATTGACCAACAGGAGACTTTAGCTTCCTCATGACACCATTGGAATGCAGGCTGCCCCACTCCCACCCTCTAGCCTGCTCCCCCTCCAACGTCTCTCAGATGAGCCTGTCAGCAAACCTACTGCTTAAGCCAATGTCCAGCTGGGGAAGGCAAGTCTCTCTTTCTTTCTTGTGCCTCCAACCTTTTAGTATTTCCCTGCATCATCCCTCTTGCCTGCACATGAGCGGTACTGTCTCTTCTCTGAAGACCACCCTCTTTCCACCTCAGTTTTATTATAAAGGTGCTGGGTGGTGGCTGGTGACAGAGGGCTGATTCTTTGTGGGTTTCTGTGGACCTGCATGTTGATGGCTGTCTCTAGGGTGTGGGGATTTCTGATGCCTTTTGTTTTAAGTCAAGACACTCGTCTCTAGTTCTGGGGCAACTGAAAAAGTCCCACCAAATCTCTTCGTATGTGTTTCCTAGGGCCCATAACAGGTGACAAATGAATGGGGTGGCTTCAGCAACAGAAATTTATTTTCCCACAGTTCTGGAGGCTAGAAGTCTGAAAGGCAAGACCGTGTTGCCTCCAAAGGCTCTAGGAGAGGATCCTTGCTGCCTCCACCTTCCGGTGGCTCCAGACCCTCCTGGGCGGTGGCTGCCTCGCTCCAGTCTCTGCCTCTGTCTCCACATGGCCTTCTTCTCTCTGCCTCTGTGCATATCTTTTTCTCTTCTTATAATAACACCAGTAATTGAATCTAATGCCTACCCTAACGACCTCTTCTTAACTAATTATATCTGCAAAGACCCTATTTCCAAATAAGGTCACACTCTGAGGTTCTGGGTGGTCATGAACTTTTGTGAAACACTCTTTGACCTGTATGATCTTGTTACAGAGAATTTCCATGCTGTTTCCTTGAGGAACAGAAGGGTCAGAGAGAAGCATGGAGATGTATCTCGTTCCATGGACAGCTTCAGGGAAATAAACTTTAGGGAGATTGATGGTATAAGATTCACGCAGGCCCATCCCTGGGACCTGCAAAAGAAGGGGCAAAACGGTGGATAGCAGTGGACAAGAATGCCCACATGATTGTCAGTACCAGATGACTGACTCAAAAAGGGGTCCCCAGGTCCCTGTACTGCTTTGGACCCAGGAATACCCAACTCCTAACCCCCACCACTTAACCTCTGCTTCCTCTGCTACCCGCTGCAGGGGCACCAAACCATGAAGGCCACTCTTGACTTCCACAACCGGCCCCTAGCAGGGGAGGGATGAGGTTCTCTCTCTGTTATTTCTGGGAGGAGAAGATAACTGCCCAGCACATGGTGTCATTCGTGGCACATCTTCCCACAGAGTCAGTTCCATACCACCAGCGCTCTCCCACCCCATTTGTATTGGGTGACGCTGCTCACCTGGGCTTCCCTCAGCTTTTCTGGGATCCTGCCAATTATTCGATGAGGAAGAACATTCTAATCCCCAAAACTAACTTCTAAATGTACCCTTCTGTGAGGTAGGGTTTCCCCAGGTCACCACCATGGGGAAAAGATAGTTTATCTGATAACGGGGTAAATCTTGAAATGTCCGGCTTGCTACATCAAGTCAAAGGAAGTATATTAAAGATTGAGGACTTAGTATGAGAAAACTCTAACTATTCTTAGGTATTTTCTCATTAGAATTATTTTTGAAACTTAATTTATACCCTTCCCCCAAAATGTTGATAAACACTTCCTTGTATGTGTCATTAGCTATACAATTAATTGTTCAAAGTAAGTAACACATCATATTCAAGATTAAAAATAGAAATTGTATTTTAGTATTTTTTTGATAGCTTGGGAAAATATTATTGAGACTCAAGTCCACTTAAATTAGATGATTTGTTTGTTACAAATGACAGATAATTATTAATAAATATGAATATATGAGTCTTCCTTTTTAATAAATAGACATGGGTTAAATTTTTTAAGTAATCAAAATAGAACAAAAGCAAGTGAACTTTCAGGCACAAGACTATGCTGACCTCTCATTCATTCTATAACATTCGGTCATACATTATGTGAAAGTGCTACAGAAGGCAGATCATAATTAGTTGGCATTAGATTGTCATTATTGTCTAACACCATCAACCTTTTCATCGCTAAATAATTACCTAAAGAGACAAAAACTATCCACAAAAATTTTTTAAAAAACATTCAGAGACTTTTAAGATACATTTTGCCATCAAGCTGTGAGATTCCCCAGTGGCAAGAAGCACATATGTTTTACTCCCTAATGTATACCAGTCAGCACAGTAGCTGGCACATAGTAGGCCC